AAGAAAAGAAAAGAAAAAGAAAAAAAAAAAGAAAAAATTAACACATGTACCATGAAATCAAATTTGGATACACACATATTAGAGAACATGGGTAGGTGTAGGTAATTTACATAACAAATGAAAGCATTCATCTATATGTTTATAAAACTAGAGGTACACATTTAAGATTCTGGTCAAATAAAAATGTTCATTTGCTTAGTTATCTTGCTCTACCTAATAATGTAGGTATGGGCAACTAACATATGAATCCTCAAAATACAATACAAAATATATCCTATAAACTAGAATGATCAGTCAACTTACAAGCACAGTAGAATTTAGGAACTTATTTGCTTAGCAAGAAGCAATTATTCCTACATGAAACATCACCTACACCCTCTAATAAATACCTGAATTCCTTCTCAAAGACCCAGACACAGAAAGACTCAGGCTAAAGAGACAAAAGTCAAAAGTGGTGGTTGCCAGGTCATAAAAAAGGTACATGGCATCTTTTATACAAGAATGAATTAATGTTATTAAATTCAAAGAATTTGAAGTTAGCCATTTTCTTTCTTTTTTCTAAACTATACGTACACACCTTCCCTGAATACAAATGTATATAGAACTCACATAAAGAGAATAAGGGATAGCAGAACAGACTACCTCAAAATACGGTGCTTTGGCATATTGAACATTTTGAGCTGTAGGCACTTGAAAAACAGCAAATGTAGGGAGAGGCTTTCCCTGAACTCCCCTTTATCTGCCTAAAGACAGATCCTCCAAAAGGAGTTCAACTGCCATAGATCCCCTCCCGGAGGAATTCAACCAGGGAGGATGGCCTCTTATCACAGCAGATGAAGCTGACACCACAACCAGACAAACTCTGTCACAAACTATCATACCTCTTTTTCTACTCTTCTAAGGGCCCTGTTCATTTTTCCTAAGTCATTTACTCTCCCTTAAGACTCCTACATCCCTCTGACCCTATTAGGATCATATTTAAGCCTAAATTCTAATGCTACCTCTGAGATGCTCATTTTTCTGTGCATCTCCCATAAATACATGAGTTTAAAACATTTAATAACTTGTTTTTCCTCTTGTTGGTCTTTTATTACAGGGGTCTCAGGCAAGTACTAGAAGGGTAGAGGGAAAATTTTTCCTCCCCTACAAGATGACCTATCATCTTGATTATTTATCTTCTTAACCAATTATACTTAAAGATGTTTTCAGAAGGCACAGTTCTGATCAACATATTATCAGTTGACATAATAAAAAAACATTATCTGGTAACTATAATTACCTGATAGCAGTCTCCTTTAAGATTGTCTAGGACATCACCACATGTTTTTCGCATGTATTTCTTACATCCGTCAATCACCATTTGGTCAATGTTCGAAATAGGTTAAGGAGAAATTTCCCCTGGATTTGGATGTATCAAAGAATTCTGAGATATACTTTTTAAAAAGGTTAAGATGAACATAACATTTTTTTAACACTAATTTGGGTATTATAAGTTTAAAAAATGATAAATGAGACAATGACTTCATTTGTTGTGCACCAAGGACACTCAAAAGGAACTCAATTTTCTTCTAATGAAACAGCCATTTCAGCAATTGCTGAACAGTAGACACAGTACAAAGGTTACGTGCTCTTTAATTCTCAGCTCTGCTTCTTTGTTGGTGGCCATATAAAAAGGTACTGGTGGGCTTCCCTGGTGGCGCAGTGGTTGAGAGTCTGCCTGCCGATGCAGGGGACACGGGTACGTGCCCTGGTCTGGGAAGATCCCACATGCCGCGGAGCGGCTGGGCCCGTGAGCCACGGCTGCTGAGCCTGCGCGTCCGGAGCCTGTGCTCCGCAACGGGAGAGGCCACAGCAGTAAGAGGCCCGCGTACCACACACACACACACAAAAAAAAAGGTACTGGTACTAAGTGGAAATGTTTGTTCAAGGTAGTCTTTATAACACATTTACCTCGTAACATTAACGTGAGTCTTAAGACAAAAAACGAGGAAGAAAACAAACAAAGCCCACTTAACTTGATCTCTTATGCAACAAAGGATATCTCTACCATAGTGACCATCTTTGGTTTCAGTTTGACTATTTCACATAATATGCCCCCATCTCCGCCTCCTAGAATCAGTACATCTTTGCCAGTGTAATCTTCTTTGCCACTGCCCATGATGGCCCGGGTATACGCCAGATCACTTTCCGCCAAATCTAGGGAGAAGAAACATCCAAAATGGTGACTATAACCAAAGCCATACACCACCTGACTTATACCAGAAAGTGCTAGAATCTAGAAAATTCAGAATTTTTCATTTTCAATCTTTAAAAACAGCAGTATACAGAGGTGTTGTTTTTCTGGTTTTTTGGATTGTGGACTTTCATCAACCCTACTCATCTTAACACTCAACATAAAATGTTACCTACATAGATTATACACATATACACTTTAGTCAGTAGGAAGAAAATTCAGTCTTTAAACTGTTCTGATATGATAATTAAAAAGCAATTGCATCGGGCTTCCCTGGTGGCGCAGTGGTTGAGAGTTCGCCTGCCGATGCAGGCGACACGGGTTCGTGCCCCAGTCTGGGAAGATCCCACATGCCACGGAGCAGCTGGGTCCATGAGCCATGGCCGCTGAGCCTGCGTGTCCGGAGCCTGTGCTCCGCAACGGGAGAGGCCACAACAGTGAGAGGCCCGCGTACCGCAAAAAAAAAAAAAGCAATTGCATGTTTCCAGATGAAATATGAAGCAGAGTTGCTTCAAAAGAATATGAGGTATGTATGTCCATGCCTCTCTCTCTCACTTTATCACAGACATATATATACACTACCGAACGTAAGGTAGATAGCTAGTGGGAAGTAGCCGCATAGCACAGGGAGATCAGCTCGGTGCTTTGTGACCGCCTGGAGGGGTGGGATAGGGAGGGTGGGAGACGCCAAGAAGGAAGAGATATGGGAACATATGTATATGTATAACTGATTGACTTTGTTATAAAGCAGAAACTAACACACCATTGTAAAGCAATTATACTCCAATAAAGATGTAAAATAGAGGGGAGGGAAATAAAAAAAAAAAAAAAAAAAAAAGAATATGAGAGGGAGAAAAGTAGACCAGAGTTCAGGGGAAACAAGATTGGCCAGGAGTTGATAATTGTTGGCACTCAACAGTGAGTATGTGTGGGTTCATCTTACTGTTCTGTCTACTTTGGTTTGAAATTTCCCATCTAAAAGACTTCTTAAAAAAATAAGCAATATAAAATAGATAACCAACAAGAACCTACTGTATAGCACAGGGAACTCTACTCAATATCTTATAATAACCTATAATGGGAGAGAATATAAATAACAATAATATATATTTATATATATATGTATAACTGAGTCACTTTACTGTACACCTGAAACTAAGAACATTGTAAATCAACTATACTTCAATAAAAAATTTTTTTTAAAAAGGCAATTACATTTTCTTTTGAAATACAATCTAAATACTAATCACTAAGAAAACTAAGGAAAAAAGAGTAACAAGACAAAATTTTCATGGCTCTACTACAAAACATGAAAGCCCAGACAAGAAAACACCATCTAATACACTGTCACTTTGTCATGCGATTGGGGTAGGGATGGAATACTTACTAACATCCCCACTGAGGATGAGAATATTTCCAAATTGTTTTGAGTGTAAAATTTTAATGTTCTGGTAAGGTGAGTCTTCATCATACACCACTTCATCTATGTCGTACTCAACCAGGCGGCCATCTGCAGTGGGCCAGTATCTGTCAATGGCCCCTCCTCGAACTATGGGTGGTAATCTGGAACAAAAGGAAAACAGGAATGAGCCTTAAAAGAAAGGCTGCTTAGGTGAGGCTGCCTTAAAAGAGGACCTGGGAACAAGCATTTGCAGGAGCCACATGACCCCAGGCAGACTCCTAAATAGTACACAACCAATCTAAAACTTGCGCTTTGAGGTTTATACAAACATGGCCACTACCAAATTTCAACACTGTTGTACATTAAGAATTTACTTTTTAAAAAACCTTTCTGGCATACTTTAAATTTTCCCTAAAAAATGTTGAAGGAGAAAATGGCCATTGCAGACATCATCCTTCACCCCCAAATACTCCAGCAGTAATCTGTTAAGACTGCCTACATAGCTACTTTTTCACTACCACATCCATTCAAGTCCACATGGATGGAATACCAGCACCTAGTAAGGAATCCATGTTCAAGTATCCCCAACTGCCAATTATCTCCTTCGGAGCTATTCTACTTTTGAATGAAGAATCATATACTGTATTTTGCTGGTTCCCTTTTTTACCCTCATTTAATCGAAAATAGTCCATTGCAGGAATAGACACAGACAGAGAATGGACTTGAGGACACGGACGAAGTGAGAGATTGGCATGGACATATATACACTACCCAACGTAAAATAGCTAGCTAGTGGGAAGCAGCCGCATAGCGCAGGGAGATCAGCTCGGTGCTTTGTGACCACCTAGAGGGGTGGGATAGGGAGGGTGGGAGGGAGACGCAAGAGGGAGGAGATATGGGGATATATGTATATGTGTAACTGATTCACTTTGTTATACAGCAGAAGCTAACACACCATTGTAAAGCAATTATACTCCAATAAAGATGTTAAAAAAGAAAATAGTCTGTTGGCGCCGTCACCCCTTCCCCGTGTTTCATGACATTCACATCACAGCAAAGTCCAGACCAGGTGTTCTGCAGGAAATCCCTCAAGTGGGTTTGCCTGAAGATCTCTTCAATAGAGTCAAGTTGGCATATTATGCAAGCATCACATCAGGGGCACGAGATGTGTTCCTGTCCTATTATTGGTGGTGTAAAGAGTGACCACATGGTTAAAGCAGATGACCACGAGATCCCTACACTTGCAAAGGTACCGTTTTTCCCTTTGAAATTACTAAGCAGGGTGTGGAGCAGTCCTGTGAAACTGGGTCAAGGTCCTGATCTCTCAACAAACCTTCACCAGTGGCTTTGGCATCTAGAAGATTCTTGCCTGAACCAATTATTACGAGAATAGCTGCAAACTGATGATTTCCTCATTCAGTTCTTTCTGTTAATACTGAGTATTTTAGATAGGGTGAATGTACTAGAAACTAACAGCAGAGGACACTACATGACAAGGAAAACCAGACCTGGAAAGGGGGCTTGGCAAATTAAGTGGAACACAAACAAGATGAGAACTCACTGCATACATAACACGACCATGGGCAAGTCCTGTGTTCTCAAGTACAGTGGGGTTTACAGTAAACAAGCCACAGGTACCTAAAATGCTGGGCTACCTCTGACTCGCTCTGACAAGTCTTTGCTCTTCCAGCTCACCTGTTTCCAAGAATACAGTCTGAACCTGTTACAGGTTAATGAGGCTTTCTATGAGGAAATACTAACATCTGCAAAAAGCACTGAATTTACAAAGCAAATTCCCATAAACTGTCATTTAATCGTAACTCCTCCTAATTTAACCACTTCTTCATCTTCCAGGAGAACAAACTCAGCTGTTGGAATTGGGCAGATCAGAGGTGTTTCTTGTAAAATGTGGTACCCCAAACAGGGCAAACCCCGAGAGGAGGCAAACAGGACTTGGGGGAAGCCTCTTCCACCTCTGGCTGATGGGTGGCAGGTGGCCTGAGGTGGGAGCATGAGCTACCTGTGACACTGGATGAAAGTAACAAATAGCAACTCAAGGGCTTTCAGGGGAGGAAACCCACCCCTCGGGGTTGACAGCCAGCCAGCCACAGGCAATTACTGAACTATGCACAAACCCAATGAAAACAATGTCCATTCTCAATTGATTCAGTGGTGCCTTGGGTGCAGGTAAGAGCTCTTTCCTCCACAGCAACACAGTGGTTTTTAAAGAGATGCAAAGAAGCAAGGATCTTTTTCTTTTTCTTTTTAACATCTTTATTGGTGTATAACTGCTTTACAATGATGTGTTAGTTTCTGCTTTATAACACAGTGAATCAGTTATACATATACACATGTTCCCATATCTCTTCTCTCTTGCATCTCCCTCCCTCCCACCCTCCCTATCCCACCCCTCTAGGTGGTCACAAAGCACCGAGGTGATGCAAGGATCTTTAAGGACGGGGAAGCCATCACCTTGATCATACCGAGCAGGACCCTATGGGGCTTCTGGGCACAAAAGCCTTTCTGTGTCCCCCATTCCTTGATTACAGGAAATGGGGCTTCATTCAGACTCCAAGACCTTCCCTGAGTGCCGATGGGCAGTTCAAACGGATGCTAATTAGGGAAGGGAGGGGATGTGCAGAAGAGGGAGGAACAGTCAAAGGAAACAATAGTGCAGCCTTGGGGCAGGGTCCTGGTTCCCCTCAAGGGACACACATAACAATATCTTTGAGCTGTTTTGCAGATACTGAAGCCCCCACCAGGTGGCAGAAGTTAACTGCATGCTGCCCACCAGCACGCAGACCCCAGACCAGTTGCAACCAGAAGGCTGATGATGCTGACGCCCATTTACCTCCCCACCAGCCAATCAGAAGAATGTCCACGGGTGGATCACGCTCTCCTTGAACCATTACTATAAAACTCCTCACTACCCCCTCCAGGTCGGGACACGCAGTTCTGAGGGCATTAGTCCACTGTGGCCCCCTCTGCCCGGCAAAGCAATAAACTTACTCTTTTCTACTTCACTCAAAACTCTGTCCCCAAGATTTCATTCAGTGTCGGGGTACAGAGGCCGGATTTGGCTTCACTAACAGGAAGCGCATCTCCCTGAAATGGGCTTTGGGAGATATCCTGGAGCCCTCCGTAACTCTCTTTTCAACCTTCACTACAGAAAATTGAAAATAGATGGTAGAGAGAAAGACAGAATATGTCCCGGGCCTCAGGTACGCCGTGTAAATTGCAAGAATTTTTCTTTTCAACAAAACATTACTGATGTAAGCTTGTTTTTCCTGTTTCTTTTCTTTTGAATAGCAGGATATGAAAATAAAGTTTCTAATGAATCCCATGGCTTCTTAATTCAGATTTAAATCACTGGCCACAGGGGAGTAATCATTTCAGATGTTACTGAGTCATTTGTTAATGATTCAGTCTCTAACAATGTCATTCCCCAGACAGAAAAGTGGCACCATTCTTGTCCTTTTGAGGCCAAAAACAAAGGGCCTACAACAAAGTATTCCCAACAACTTCCTGCCCGCTCCACCCTGATTTTATGAAAAGATGTAAAAACAGTGACGAGGAAAAACAAGGCCTGTGCTGTGTTTTGAACTGAAAATCGGAAGTATAACTGCATTCTCACTTCAAAAACTCCCATACCAAAACCACAAAGGAACCAGACTTCTCATGAGTGGGGAAGCCCATAAATGCATTCCATCTATTTGCTCACTCCTAGAAGTAATCCCAATAAAAACCAGACCAATAAAAAAAAAAAAAAAAAAAAATTTTGACGTTGGCCAATTCATTATCACCGAGTTAAAGACACAGATGGACCAGGAAAGATTAGGAAAATTCTGCAAGCAGGAAGAGAGGGAAATTCCAGAAAACATTGTAGGTGTGGACAAGTTCTTTAAGGATGGGGAAGGGCCCGAGGACACGTAAGCTGAACTTGGGTGGGGTAAACAAGTCTGGGTGCTCCAACAGATTTCAATCAAGTGGCCGAGTTCTACACTATGTCCTGCTCTCTTCACATGCAGTTTCCTGCTTTGTGTCCATGTTGGAGGTTAAACAATTTTCCAGTTATCTTACATCTGCCCTGGGGCTTTCCTCTAGGCTGATCAAATTTAGCAGGATGAGCCATTATGTACTTAAACGTCCTTAAACAGCCAATAAGGACTCCCTCTTGTGGAAAGTGCCCTAAAATGGAGAAGTCTGTATTCTGGATGGTCACTTCCATCAGTGATGCCCCGACCTTACTGAAGTCTCTCTGTGTTTCTGCATCTACGTGTTTGCCTTTATGAGCAAGGGACAAGCCCACTTTTGAGGGCCTGATAAGGAGCCACCCAGGCAGGGCAAGGCAGAACCGCTCAGAATTACCTGCTGTGCAGCCATGATTAATTCCCAGGACCTACCAGACTCTATCCCTCCCAAGAAATGTCAAAACTATTGCTTCTATCAAAGCTCTTTTAACATCTGACACCACTGACAAATACTTCTGTCCAACAGAACATTTCTGGCACCACAGAAATGTTCTTTATCTGCGCTGTCCAATACGGCAGTCACTAGCCATTAGCTAGTGACATGAGGCGAGACTGAGGAACTGAACTGTTTTTATATTAACTTAGTTTTAAATAGTCACATGTGGCATATAGTGGCTGCACTCCTCAAGAAAGGTTAATGGTCTTCATTTTCATCTGAAAAGAACCCACCAGGGGCTGCTCAAGGTGGGTGGCCTCTGAAATTCTTAGCACCTTGCAGTATCAATATCATCTTACCTGAAAGCACTGAGGCAAATTTTCTATCATCCCATGCTGTCAAAATCTCTTAAAACTGCTTAATTCTACTCTGGGGCCCAGAACTCTGAGGAAAGACAAGACAATCTTTTCTCTTTACTGGACAGGGTCGAGGAGTTTTCTAGCTCCCCTTTGAGGTGCCAGCCCTACCTGATTCTCTGCGTTATACAGTTCCAGCCCCTTGGAATCACTGTACGCTCCCTTCTGCCTTTGTTCCACTTTGTCTAGCATCTCTTTCTCTCATATACAGTTAGTCTTCTGCTGTAAGGGCCCACTACCTCAGTCTACCAAGTGGCCAGAAGCAGAAGTCGACTTTGATCTTTTCTACATCTTAGACACTGCTCAGGGATAACACCACCATTCTGATTAGTTTATCGATTAACCAAATATAAAAGAACATTCAGGAGTGGACTTACCGCTTCACCCGCTCAGTACTGTCCTGACTCAATTCTTTCATTCTTTCTTCTACTTTGTTCAAAAGCTGCAATCAAAAGAAAAGAAATGGGCTTATCAAATAAGCTGAGTGGAACAGGAGGTTGAGACCGTGTTGGCAGAGCTGTGATACTGGCAGATGCCCAGATACATTTGTCCTCCCTAACCCCTACAGCAGCCTGCAGGCCTGGCACAATTCCACACTCCCACGCCAAGTAGCACAACACAGTATCAACCTCGCTTCAGCCTAAAGTACCAACAAAATAATGGCAAAGGGAAAGCCTCAAGAATATTGCAGCTGTAATGTTCTGGATAAAGGTTTACATTCCCTCCAGCGCAGAAGTAAAATCATAACTCAGTACTCAAGCAGTCAAGGGAAAGATGACAGCCAGGTTCCTAAAAACTACTGAGGAACGACTATTTTTCTTCTAAAATCACTTATTTGAAGGGAGGCAAGTTTAAAATTAAGTGAATATTTAAGATAAAATAGAAATTTCATTGAAAAAAAATTAAGTGAAAGTCAGCAACTAGATGAAAATAATTTTATCATTAAACTGAGCAGTTTTTGTGATCCTCAAATACTTGAGTAAGTAAAAGTGGAAAACTGACACTGTCAACTTCTTTGCCTTGCGCATCACCGTCGTAACTCTGAAGGTCCAGCAACACCAATCCATGTGGGTAAATTCTCAAATTGGCAAAGCTACAGAGGAAAGCATAATTTTAAGGTTAGGAATTGTATCACGGCACTCAAAAGAAAAAAGACACCAACCCAGTTAAAAGGCAAAACCACCGCTCTTTTTTCCCTATATTACATAATTGTCCCTGTTGCTTTCTCATTAGAGCCTCTTCATGGGGGCAGGGAAGCCAATCATTTAGCGAAGATTTTAGAGAGAGCCATCAAGTGCTAAGGTTTTCAAAACAGGTTCTTGGGTCCAGAAAGTGATTCAGCAGCAAGTTCTATGCACCTGATTTTTAAGAAGGTTGCTCAGCAGTGATTGACTCCTCCTTAAAAGGAAGCGAGGGTGGTGAAGAGCAAACTGGGTTCTCCCAATTAACCTCAGAGTTCGAACAGAGCCGTGGTATTTCTTTTGTTTGTTTGAATAAATTATTTATTTATTTTTGTCTGCGTTGGGTCTTCGTTGCTGTGCACGGGCTTTCCCTAGTTGCGGCGAGCGGGGGCTACTCTTCGTTGCGTTGCGCGGGCTTCTCATTATAGTGGCTTCTCTTGTTGCGGAGCACGGGCTCTAGGCGCGTGGGCTTCAGTAGTTGTGGCACGCGGGCTCAGCAGTTGTGGCTCACAGGCTCTAGAGCGCAGGCTCAGTAGCCGTGGCACACGGGCTTAGTTGCTCTGTGGCATGTGGGACCTTTCTGGACCAGGGCTCAAACCTGTGTCCCCTGCACTGGCAGGCAGATTCTTCACCACTGCGCCACCAGGGAAGTCCCCAGAGCCGTGTTTTTCTGACTGCAAGCAGGTGGTGGCTAAATTCACTGAGCTCGGGGCCTGCAAGCCAGATCCAGCCCGCGGCATGTTTTGTAAAGCCTGCAGATTAAAACACGTGTTTTTACATTTTTAAAGAGTTGCTTAAGAAAAAAGAGGGAGTATGTGACAGGGACCTTATGTAGCTCCTTACAGGAAAAGCTTTAACCTCTAATTTAGTGTACCTGACCAGCTTTTTTATGAAATAAAAATAGTGTATCACACATGTGTAAGAATTATCTGAAGAAACTTTTCTTTCAATTAGACATGTATATTTGTATATATGCAGATGTGTATGTGCACATCTGATAAAAAATCACTTCTTACCATAAGGTGTGGTTAAAGAAACGTTTGAATGACACTAAATAAGATGATGAGTTCTGTTTGGAGAATACGGGCAGTGTGCTTAGATTAAAAAATAAATACAACTGTGGGACTTCCCTGGTGGTCAGTGGTTAAGAATCCGCCTTCCAATGCAGGGGACAGAGGTTCAATCCCTGTTCGGGGAACCAAGATCCCACACGCTGCGGAGCAACTAAGCCCGTGCACTCTAGAGCCTGTGCAGCATAACTAGAGAGCCTGTGCTGCAACAGAAGATCCCGCATGCCGCAATGAAGATCCTGCGTGCCACAACTAAGACCCGATGCAGCCAAATAAATAAAATAAATATTTAAAAAAATACAACTACTTAATTTTCACCTTCAGCCCATTTTTAAACGGCCTCAAAATCAAGTTCAGGCCCAGGACACCACAAACTCATCTGCACCTGCACGAGCTGACCATCCCCACTCACCACCACCACCAGCCACACAAAGGAGAGGGGCCAGGGGTAAAGAAAGGAGAGAGAAATGCCACCTCTTAACCAGCTAGGTGGTTCTAGCAAAGAATCCCCCGCCAGAGAACCTAGGAACACAGAGAATGCCGAAAGGTAGAGTCAAACCTCACCGGATTAAAACCGGAAATAAAGAAAGAGGAAAAGTTGCAAGGAGGAGAAAATGGAGACCAACAAAAAAGGTGACTGAGGACCAGGACCACACACAAAGGGGACATTAACCAGAAGTGAGGCCAAAAGCCCGGCTGGGAGCTGCAGTCCCTACCCTGAGCCGACAGGTGCCTGGGCATGGAAGACAGGAGTGAGTGAGGTTTCACGACAGGCCACATGGGGATGGGTCCCAGCTAACCAAGTGAGAGAAGAGGAAGACCAATGTGGAAAACAAGTTTTTAAACTAAGCATATTAGGGAATTCCCTTAGTAGACTAGTGGTTAGGACTCCGTGCTTCCACTGCAAGGGGCCAGGTTCCATCCCTGGTTGGGGAACTAAGATCCTGCAAGCTGTGCGACACGGCCAAAAAAAAAAAGTAAACTAATAAGTATGTAAATTTTTCTCTTTTTTTTGCTTTCAGAACCAACGTCCAACAGCTCTTATTACTCAAAAACTCCCTTCCAGGAAGAATCCTAAGCCTTCTAGAAAACTGGGATTGGTGTCTAGGGCAGAAGATTCAAGAACTGAGGTAAAGAGGTTGGTCGCGGCCAGCTGCAAAGGCCCTTAGGAGGTGGTAAGAGATGCAAGGCTTCACCTGGAGTGGAGGAGGAACCTACCAAGGTGGGAGAGAGGCAAGGTCTGATTGCTGTGTCCCCAGAGGACGGACCACAGCTAGGACAGTAAGACACGGGGGCAGAGAGGATGGAGAAGAGAGGCTGGAGGGCGCAAGGCCAGCTGCAGACCTCTGCTTCTATGGGACTCACCATTAACTGGGCCAGAGCCCGAGGACGGAGGCAGTAGAAGGTTTGGGTCACCCTTGAGAAGAAATCATTTTAGATACGTTGGAGGTATCTGCTACAGGCATATATGGACGTTTGCTACATAGTCAGAAACAACAATCACCACCACAGGGGTGAACCATGTACCCTTATAAAGAAAATAATGGAAGCGGGGCTGAGCTCAAAAGTACAAGTTTCCCTCACCTCACAGCACTGTCTTCTGGGCCTCTGTAAGATTTGGGGAGGGGGTCTTCTTTTAATTAGAAAAACAAGGGAGAGAGTATAGGACATTAATGAAGCCACGTGGAATTCTAGAACTTAGAGAACAGAATGAAAGCCATCAAAAATACCCAGGAGTTCACATTTTTAAATTAATAGTACAAATTACTAAGAACCTTAACGGTTTTACACACGAGACAGTCTAGAAGATACAAACCAAGACTTAGGGAAATGCAAAGAGCTCAATGCACCAGTGTCTTCTGTTATCAGTCATTTCCTTTCCCAGTCTTAGGTTGACTTTCATTTACATATTGATCAGGTAAAAAGTCTAGACCATCTATAAAGTCTTAAGGAGAAAAAACAAACAAAAACAACTCCTGGATCCCTTCAGCTTCCTGTCAAGCTACTTGCAGACTTTCTCATCCTGAATTTGACTACGGTCTGCGTTAGCGGATAACCACGTACTACAGTGCTCCTCACAGTGGGGTCAGCTGACCGGCAGCATTGACATCCCCTGGGAGCTTGTCAGAAATGCTGTTTGGGGTGCTGCCCCAGACCTGTGCAGCAGAAACTCTTGCAGTGGAGCACGGCCATCTGGATCACTGCCTGCCGGTTCACACTGCTTATGCTGCTCAAGGGTTCTGGGTCTTGGCCACACAGAATCACCGGGGGGTGTTTGGAGAAACAGCGATGCCCAGTGGCCTCAATCTCTGGGGGGAGTGCCTGGGCATGGGATTTTGTGAAGGCACTCCCAGGCAATTCTACTGTGCAGCTAGAGCTGAGAAGCACTGAATTCTAGCCCCTCCTCAAAGATGCCAAGGAGGAAAGAAAAAAACCAGGACACCACCCCACCACCACCCTTTACACACACATCCACCCACACATACACAAACACACATCCCCGCCCCTACACACACACACACACACACACACACACACACACACACACACTGCTGAAGTGCTCAGACCTGAATAGGAGCACTCGAGGCTGCCTCACCTGCCATTTTTGTTTACGTAGGTCGCTAAATAGCCATGGTCCTGCCAGGTGTGCACCGACTCCATCATCCCCTGCTCCTGGAAAATGGACTGGAGGCCTTTCAGAATGGTCTCACCATCAGCTGGAGAACAGGGGGAGAAGGCAAGATGGTCAGAATGAAACATTCAGAAGCAAAGCCAGCGAGGCACAGTTTGATGAATGAACTTTTAAGAAAACCTGAACAGAGCTGCCAGCGTCGCTTATCCCCTTTGTCATGAGCTACAACGTTCTGAACCCTACAAGGAGAGGCTTCAGATTACCAGGGAACAAAATAAGAATGGCAACACCAACCACAAAACAGCTGTGCCAAAAACGCAGACAGATATTCAGGAAACTAGAAATAGCCTAACAAAATATTCAGGCTAGCCAGAAACCAGAAATACAAACACAATAAAAGACATTCCACTTTAGGTTAAGTAAGTTAATGAGAATACAGAGTACTAGAAGAAGAATTCCATCCACTGTTGATGGGTATCATAAACAACTTCAAAACTTTTGGCTTTGTGTTCCAAGTGTTCTACAATAAGGAGGGCTTGCTTTTATTATTGGAAAAAATAAATGGCGCCACTCAGTAACCTATCTCTAACTGATAGAAACTGAACAACAATTCAATATGGTACAAGCTGCTAGGCATTGTGACCCCATCTCCCATCCCACCCCCTGCTACCAAAGTGGAGCTCAGGTCAAGGACTGAGGTCAAAGTTATAGAAATTGCGTTAACCTCTGTAGGTTCACTTGAAGCCACAATCTTCAAGAACATCCATCATTATGATATTTAGATAAAAACAAAATGCAATTTATTCTTATCTAGTTGTATCTGCAAAGGTACTCACTCCTTGAGAAGGGTAAGATAAAGAAGCAAGATGAGACAAAAGGAATCACTCTGTATTGTCTCAGGAGCCCGCCACAGGCTGGTGCTTTTTCCACACAAAGGAAAAGAGTAGGGGCTGCAAAGCATCAAAACAAAGCATCCCTGTGACCTGAACCGAGGGCAAAAGAAAAAAAAACAAGATCCACAGCTGACCACAGTGTGGTTTCACAAGAAAATTACACTAGAATTCCTTCCAGATACTAAGGAGTGCCAAAACGGACTGGAAGGATTTCCTCAATCTACGCAAGAGTCTCTCTCCAATGACATTTGGAACTATGCTCCCAACACCTTCCAGTGCACAATAAGAACGAAGGCCACAAACTGGGTTCAGAGGCCAAACTGGGCAGCACATGTGTCTTATTCTGGCCTATGCAGACATTTTAAAAAATGTAAATTGCCACTTACAAAGCAGATGATTTCATCCACTCCAACTGTCGTGGGTGGAATAGTGGCCCCCAAAAGATATGTCCACACCCTAACCCCCAGAACTTGGGAGTGCGACCTGATTTGGAAAAGGGTTTTTGCAGATGTAGTTAATTTAAGGATCTAGCGATGGATCATCCTGGAGCACCCAGGTGGGTCCTAGTTCCGGTTAAGTCCTTATTAGAGACTGAAGCCTGGAAGACCCAGGGAGGAGGAGGAGGGGCGGGGAGGGGGAGG